AGAGTGGGGTGGATAGCGAATTTAACCTTTGTATGTCTGCAAACCATAATAATCAATATTGAATAGTGTGCATTCAAGCTGCTAATTAGGGGTGTTCGTGGATTGGATTGGATAGATTTTGAGGGAGAAAACCATTCGACCCAATCTCTTCAGTTTGGTTCATTGGTCATCTAATCATTGTGATTTAAAAATCAAATCTAATCCAATCCAATCCAAATATATTTCGGTTAATTAATAATAATAATAATAATAATATACAAAATTACGAATTGAGATAATCTATCAATATTCAATAACGTGATAAAATCACTAACTTAAAAAAAACCAAGTAAATTTTTAAGTAGTCAATAGTCAATACATTGTTACCACAATATAGAATACCAAACAAAATCAAAACACCATTGACTAAAATAGAGGGTAAAAGGCAAAGTAAATATTGTAGGGGAGAGGAGTTGTGAGTGGTGTCTAGGCATTGCAATCTAACCCGCTTCCGTGAGTACCCGCTCGAACCTGCCCCGATTTGGACGGGAAAACCCGTGTTTATCGAGTTCAAGTTCGGATTCGGGTTTTTCCCGATTGATAAAATCAGGGGCGGGGGTGGGGACGGGGATGTTAATACCCGTCCCCGTACCTGCCCCCACCCACCCCTACCCCCGCCCCGCTTAATAATATAATTAAAAAATTATTTATATATATATATATATAAATCAAAATTAAAAATATTTATATGTAAAAATTTGTATTATTTTATTTTTCTTTTATTTTTTTAAATTTGTTCATATTTATTTAAAGAAAAAAAAAAATAAAAAAGAAATAAAAAAGGTAGGAGCAGGGGAGAGGGTGGGGCGGGGAAACCCGAACCTCGTCGGGGACGGGGATGGATACCCAGATTTTACCCCTGGCAGGTATCGGGGGCGGGAAATCGTAAAACCCGCCCCGGCCCCGCCCCGTTGCCATGCCTAGTGGTGTCTTCATTGTCACAGGTCTTCGTCTCTTATACTCATGAAGAGGGGTGAAAGGTGTTTCATCTCTTGGGGAGAAGGTTGAGAATAACTTTAATGTATGTGACAAGAGTGGACACTCTACAGTCATTTTAAGTTGGGAAGTAAAAAAATGTGGATACCGAAGAGTTATTTTAACAGGTAAAGAAAATAAGGATAAAAGTGGTAAATGTTATTTTAACAATAGGCTAATAGGTGAATATATATATATATATATATATATATATATATATTAGCTATTAGACATAGAGAACTTGACAGGTATATACTTTAAATACATGTATGAGACTGTACGTACCTTGACTATTGACATCAAAAGAAGAAAAGGAGAAAGGGAAAGCACTTCAAAAGAAAACATATGTTTGGATTGGATTGTTTTTGTCTTTGGAATTGAAAACCGATCCAATCCAATTAAAAAGAAATCAATTTTTCAGTTTTCGGTTTGGTTTATGCAATTTACATTGCATTGGGTTAGTTATGAACACCCATACCATTAATTGTGCCATCATAGCATGATGGGTACCCCTCTTGTTGCCCTTGTTATGTTGCATATTGTAGTCACAGTCATTGCAACACATATTGTGCCTTTGCAGCTATTCATGACTAGTCTAAGTGTTTCATAAACATGTTATATAGGGGAGGAAGGAGGACCATGATGATTTGGTTGATCAAAGTGTTTTGCCTTTTGTGCCATTACTGAATAACCACAACAATCTCTCTTTTATTGTTGTCAATCACTCACTTCTTCATTTGTGATTTGTGTCTATTAGGAAGTTGGTTAAGAGTCTAACTCAACCTTACAAAATCGGCTTGTAAAGTGAGAATTGCTCCCCACTTTTATACACTATTATGGCCTCATCTTTAACCGATGTGAGACTTGGATTTTTTCTCAATACAGCTCCTCACATCCAATACTATTGGGTTTGGTGTGTGGATAAATGGTAGGTGACCCTTTTAGAGTGGATCTAGATAGTGTTGATATCATATTAAAGAGTAAGTTAAGAGCCTAACTTAATCTTTCAAAATGGGCTTATAAGATGAGGATTGTTCCCTATTTATATACACTATTATGGTCTTATCTCTAGTCTATGTAGGACTTGGATTTTTCCCAATATTGCCAAATGCAAAGCTGTTTTTTCATTTTCTAACACAAGGCAACAATTAGCTAGCTGCTAAAGGAATTATGGTTTCTGGTGATTGGGGTATGTGTTTTCTTTTCATTTTATACCCTTGCAGCTAGCACAATTAAGAATATTTCCTGTTTTTAAATATAAGAACCAAAGTGCTATTCCTCAACTCATCCAACTTCCTCTTAGATCTCAAAATTTCATTGAAAAGCTTTGTGAGCCAAATAAAATGTTTCTCTAACACACTTCCAAACTTCAATAAGGATACCATCTAGGCAAACAAATTTACCATTGTCCATTCTCTTGAGAGTCTCTTTTACCCCTCAAGTCCAAATTCTATGATAATAAGATTAAATTTTATTTGTCCTCTTTAGATTTTTAGTCCTTTCATATTAGGACTCAATTGTTGTCCATCATTGAATAGCTTATAGAAATATTTCCCTATCTCTCTTTGATATCGTGATCTATGGCCAAAACTTTCCCTTCATCCTTGATGCAGGTTACTTGATCCAAATCTCTTGTATTTTCTCTATTTTGGGTGATATTATAAATCTTAATGTTCTCCATTCTGTCCTGAGATCTTTGTAAAACTCTTCAAAGGCTTTAGACTGTTCTTTTATTGCATCTTTTCGTGTTTCATTTCTAGCATTCTAATACTTTGCACAATTTTTAGCATTATTACACCCATATAAGATTTTAAAGCAATATCTTTAGTTTCTTAGCTTGTCTTGATCATTTTCATTCCACCACCAAGATTCCTTATCTCATGGCTCAAAACCTTTTGATTACCCAAGATTGCTTTAGCAATTTTTCTTATCTTAGAAAAAGGTTAACACTACCTTGTAAATCCAAATAATCCCCTCGTGGAATAGTTTCCGCTTAAAAGTCAAAAAGTTCATCTATGTGAAGTTGACGCAGTTTGATTCTTGGAATTTGAAATGAACATCAAGAATAAAAACCCATATGCTTAAGTTAAAAGTCAACTTTATCTCTCCTAAGTTGCCACAACTTGATTCTTGATTTGCAACTTTTCGAGTTATCTGTTTAGGCCTTTTGAAACATCAAGAATCAAAACCATATGCTGTGTAGTTGGACTCTCTCTTGGAATCACCTTGCAATCCTCACAAACTCTTTTATCACTACTTTCCAAAAAGAAATCAGTATGTGACCTTGAAACTCCACTCGTCTAAGTGATTAGATATTTTCTCATTACTTGAAACAAGTGTTCATGTTTTGAAGTTAAAAGCAATAGAAAAAGTTCATAATCTGTTATCATGCATGAGTGTATTATCCAACTTGTCCTCTTTGCCCGATGTGGTGGGACTTTATAGTTCTCCAACAGCGGGAACAGGCCAGTTGCCATGGTGCTCATCCAATTTGGTTGTTGCCAATGCCAGCCAAAAAGCCACCAGTGGCCGGAAAGTGTGTTTGTGTCTGTTAGAAGAGGTACATGGCAGGGAGGCCAAAAACTCTCAGGGAAACATGGTTTCAGCAAAAAATTAAAAAAATCAGATGGCAGTGGGTCCACCTGATATCACAAATTAGGGACGCCTCTTGTTTAGGTCCTAGATACCATGTTAAAAGGGATAGAAAAAGCAAGAAACAAGGTGAAATTTGTGTCTCAATTCCACCTATTTATCCCCAACACTCAGATTCTTCCACACTTGGACTACGATTTTCTAAAATCATGCATGAATACATTGGCGCCTTGATCACTTGATGTGACAACCATAATCAAGGAAAAAGAGGACTGAAAGTTGATCCTAAGTATAATCTTATAGGGAAGTCCTTAGTGATCCCTGCAAATATTTGTGCGCTAGTTTTAACCTTATCAAGCACATCCTTGATAGCCCAAATGTAAGCAAGCAATATACATATCCTTGTAGGACCAAATTAAAACCACCAAAACTCCCCCTCTTTTCCAATGCCTTCCTCGAGACTTGTTTTAACATTCTATCATATGGGCCTTTTCTAAGTTGGTGAAAGCCATATGTATATTCATTTCCCTCAGTTCCTCTCCATCAACCCCCAGTACTTCACAGAAGACATATGGCTTTCATACCTGACCTCCCTATCATAAACCAAATTTGGCTTGCGAGAATGACAAAAGAAAATAATCGGGATTCAAGATTTCTCACATTAATAATCGTCTTGTCACTCAATGCATTTTAAATCTAGCCCCCACACCATTTTGCACCTACTTCTATTCATCTATTATATGTTGGTAATTCCAGTCTTTTGGACTAGGTATTTTGTTGTTTCCGTAAAGCAGATATCCCATCATATTGTCTTTGTCGTCTTCGTGCCTTTTAATGAATGTCCTTGATCTAAATGATGTCTTTCCTGCCAACACTGTCCGTGTATTATTCTTGGGGAATGCTTTATTCTTGTACCTTGACATTTTTACCTGTGTCTACATTCATCTATTGCAATGTACTTTGTCATGTCATTATTGCAATTCTTTTGTAGCCCATATAATCATATTCCAGGCTTTCCATTTTACCATTCAGGCAGTTTTTCTGAGTGGTATATTCAAATTGTTGTTTCGTTATCAACTTATTGAAGAGGACCCGATCCGAATATTTTGATATATGATTTCCATTTTTAAAGTTAATAATTATGAAAACACACGTATTTATTTTTCTAGTATATTTTTACTGCATAAGAACGGGGTTTATTTTCTGTGTACTTCTGCAATTAAGCAATAGTATCTTCAGACAAAAAGGCACCACATTAAAACTTGTCTCTACATATATGTTCATCAGTAAGGAGCCATTTAAAGTCCTTAAAATGACCAGAAATGTTTGTGTTTAGAATCATCTTCAATATATTTGATGTTTAAGTTTTAACTATTTTATGGTTTCGGTTGCAGCATTAGCCGCCAAGAGAAACCGATATCAGAGGCAGAAATCCTTAATGGTTCTCGAGATGGAGAGTCAACACGCCAAGGCACTACCTTCACATTTTACTACACAATAACCATTTATTTTAATGGAAACGGAATATTGATATTCATAGTTTTCGGCCAAACATACAACGACACATCTTAGAGAAAGGGTTTGAACGTGTTGCAGCATCGATGCCTAGCCATGATGTAACAGCACTGCGGCTTTAGGAAAGAAATGGCTTTTCTCGTACAACTTTCTTTGTCTCGTCAAGGTTTCTGGAAGCCACTTATTGTACCGTGCATGCTCCCCCTGTATGACATTGTTTCTTGACCCTTCAAACAAAGGCATATACCCTGTGATGTCAATACATAGCCGCAGCTTTTGCTGAATATGTGATAGGTACAACCCATTAATGTATGAAATTTCAGCCACAAGTTAGTGTCCATTTTTCCATGGCAAATAGATTCTGGTTGACTCCTAACATTGTATACCGATTTATGTAGCAAAAGATAGGTGATTGGACTTTGCTGTACAATGTATTTCACGGTAATGCTTTCAGTTTTTCTCTCCACGTACAAAAGTATTGTACGGGTAAGGGCGTTCGGCCACCACCCGGTCGGCTTAAAACTTAAAAGTTAAAAAAAAAATACAACAGGTAATGTATAAAACTGTGGATTAAAAAAAATAAAAGAAGATAATAATTATATACTTAAATCATAAAAGAAAAAAGAAAAAAGAAATAATATAAGAAAGAAAAGGGTCAGAGAAGCGCACAAGCCACAAAGCTTTCTTGCTTTCTTCTTCGTGGTTCCGTCTTCGATGTTTCTTCTTCTACGTTTCTGCTCTTCGCGGTTCCGTGTCCGCTCTTCTGCCGATGTCGTGCGTCCGTGCTGTTCTTCTTCTATTGTTGTCAACTGCCATACTACGTTCTTCTTCTTCTTCTACTGCAGAGAAGTGTTCTTCTTCTGGTGTTGCGGACTCGCGGAGTGTTCTTTTTCTTCTATTGCAATGCAATAATATAAATAGGAAGAAGAAATTAGGGTTTTTGCTATCGAAGATCTTTAGGTGTGATCTGCCCAATATTTTGTTCTTTATTTTTTCGAATCGTGAAAGATCGAAGATCCCACGAATCACGAGGAAGATCACGATTTTACTCCGATCTGATTCCACCCCAATTTTGCATCTGATTCAACACATAATTTTTCTGCAAATCGTAAAATCGTACGATTTTACGCGTTAGGTCGCGATTTTAACAACACTGCGTCCAACTAAAGCCTAAACTTCATCACCAACATCTCCATGCTGATGATCATATGTAACACAATAGAATACACATATAGAACAAACATGGGAATGAGAAACATCTCACTTAGGTTAAGGTAAAAAAATAACAGTCAGACAACACACACATAATCATACTAAGTACAGTCATAGCTATATATTAACCAGGTGCAAATTCAAGTTACACATATCATAGTAACAAATACACAATCATTCATCATGCAATGATGTTAGGGACTCGACTCATAAATGCATGCATGTGGTGCTAGTCACATATCACTGGTGTGCTGCCTAAACAACACACCTAAGGTAGCCTAGGAGTACATGTAGGGAGCTACCCATACACTCTCAACTAGAAGGATGTACTGCTAGGGTCTGGTTGGGATAGCGAAGCTATGCAAGTTACATGTCGTGCTCACAAACAGGAAGAATTGAGACATCCAAACCGCACTATCCTCTAGGACTCCCCCAAGCTGTTGCACAAGGAGGGTCTTCCCTAACGATGTACTCCACATCATACCCGTCACATAGATGCCCATGATGCATGTCACACATTCACACTTCATTGACTCATCATTTCACTTGTTATAGAATTTCGTCTTATCTCATTTCATCACGCTTCACATTCTCATAGTCATAGTCATATGGTCACACACACATTAGTTTTTACATTCATAGTATTCACAATAGCACGTAATTCACATCAGATCAGTAGTTGTACATCACACATTCAATTAACCATTTATAAGCATATAAAACATGTAAAACATGAATCGGGGTCATTCTTGGCACACCCCAACTCGCGCCTGATGAATTAAATGTCGCACCAAAAGTGGAGCAACATGCCCAACGCGCCCTTGAGCACGCCCGACAAAATTAATGTCGTCCCTAAAGTGGAGAAACCTGCCCGACAAGGCTTCCTATTGTAGACCCCTAAAATTGTCCGGGTCGGAAATAAAACTCGAAGACCCTCAAAGATCGAAGGAAAGTCAGCCAGAAGGACTCCTAGAAGACCATAGGATGGCTATCTGTAGATTTAGAGGTCTTAGAGTAGCTTAAAATAAGGAAGTGGAGGGAATGAAGCCCAATACGGCCGTACTAAACTTAATACGGCCGTATTGAAGCTTCAACACGGCCGCAGTGAACTCAATACGGCGTATTGAAGTTTCTGAAACTTCAATACGGCCGTACTGAAATCAATACGGCCGTATTGAAGCTTCAATACAGCCGCAGTGAACTCAATACGGGCGCATTGAAATTTCTGAATTTCAATACGGCCGTATTGAACTTCAATACGACCGTATTGAAGTTCAAAAATTTCAATACGGCCGTATTGATTCTGTAGCCCGTATTGCGCCTATTCCCTATAAATATGACGTCAATTGGACGTCATTCCACACTTTGGAACATAGTTTCAACCCTCTCCTTGAGTATTCTGGGGTTTTTGAGCAGTGTTCTGCCCTAGAAATCACTC